CAAGCGCAAGCCCCTCAGCCGGGACGTACTTGGCTCAGACCCGCCGAGGGGTGAATTAAATTTTTATTTTATTAATCTCTTTTTTTTAATTTGTATCGATCGATCGTGATTTTGTTTTCGTTTTCGTCTTCTTATTGTTCCACTTGTTCTGACTAACTGTTCAACTTGTTTTCGCGACGAGCACAACTAACGGGTCGTGGGAGCACTGACAGCGACTTTTTGAAACAATTTACCGGGGGATTTATTTTGCCACAGATGTGGACTTGTCCATTGACTTTTTACCAAGAATTCGTAGAAATTCACAAAAGAATTACGCTTTGCCACAAACGTGGACTTCTCCATAGACTCTACACAATGAAATCCGCAGCAATGCAAAAACGCGTCTGCACTACACGAAAGCATGATCGAGACTGATGGGAAATATCATCAGGGAAAATTGTATTTTTTGTCTTCTCTAATTCTCAAAACTTGCAAAAAGGAATAAGTTAAGAGTTTCCGAATTTCGAACTTCATTTTCAAATTTTTTAACACATCAATATGATACTACGAATTAAAATTGAATCCGTTTCGAATTTAATCAAAAGGATTATCATTTGATATAATTTATTTTTATCAGTGATTACAAGTGCATGCAACATATTTAGACATATGCTTGGGCCTGGGTGCCCGCCCTATGAAATCATTGTGTTTGCATTACCATTACCCCAAATTCGCTGGCAGAAGGTTAGGCCCAAGATCGGAGCGATTTCGCGGAATTGGGGCCAGCGGGTTGGATTTTAGATTGCAACCAAGTGGATAATGGAAAACAGATCGTTTTGGAGAAAAAGTTTTTTGGGGAAATCACTTCCTCAAATCATGATTAATGTGGCACTATTATTTTTACTGGCTATTATGGGGAATCTTTTAGATTTCATGAGATAAAAATAGTTCTTAAAAAAGAATACTAATTTTTATATAAAGTGTTATGATGGACACAAAAGTGCTTATGTTTTCTAGAAATTCTTAGAAATTAGCTATTTATAAAAACGAGAATCCCAAATAGTTATTAATAATAATGCTAGAGTAAGTAACGATTAGAAATATATGTATATAATAAAAAAAAACTATGTGCTTTCCATCAAATCCCTTATTAGTAGTAACTAAGATTATTTTCTATTTTTGAAGTCCAAGAAAATAATGAGATTTACGAGAGTCTTATCAGTATGAAGGCACCTTCTGATATGATTCAACAAATACAGGTGCATTTGCAATCTATATTAAGACTCTCTTATCGCCTGACTTCTCCGATTAATCCATATTTGATTTCTTAATTTTGAAATTACTATTTTTATGATTTTGTGGAATAACTAGAACAAAATTCAATTGAGCTTTGCCGAGCTTTTTGTCTTTGCAATTTGACGGTAATTACCGGCAATTTGTTTGCTTTTGTAGTTCCATTTAATGTTAATCGCTAGCACTTGACAGCGGCGGCAGCAAAACGAGTTATAGTGGGGGATAGATGATGGTTGCCGATGATACCCTCTCAAGTGGCAGGAAAAATCACTTGGGAATTATAAGGTTCAGATGAAATGTGTCAGATTTCTTAAACATATAATATCATTATTATTAAATAAATATCAGAAAAAATCACTATTTTAAATTTACTTACAAATAGCTAGAAAAAGATAATCCAATTTCATGGCATGAAAAAGTACTTAGGATTTTTAAGCACAAGAAGAATTCATTGAAAACTATATACCTAATGTACTCGATTCTAGAGCATCGACAGCTTTTGATTTTCAACTCAACAACAACCGATTTCAGTAAGTAAGTGCAGGTGCAGCTCTCAGAATGCTTGATCCCGAGCTCATTTCGCTGGAGAACCAGGTGTTCCGGTGCTATTTAGGATGGTCGGCCATATTGGTGCTAAAGATCTTTGCTTTGAGCATTTATACGGGACTCACACGCTTCATTACGGCCGTAAGTTCTATACATTCTTTCGACACTTTGACTGTATCTGGAGTATCTACATTATATCTACATACATACATGAAAGTTACTTAAGATTCATGTTTCTACACATACACTTGCGGGATGTTAAATAGGAACGACATTTGTTAAAGTCGTGATGAGGGTTAAAAAACAAAATTTTTTTTTTTAATACTCTTACACGAGTAAAATAAATAAATTAATTAAATAAAAATAAGTTGACAAATTAATAACTTTTTTATAGCCAAATTTAAAATTAGTTTCATAGTTAGTTCTGCTACTGTTCCGCTACTGTGTTTCTCTCACTCTCTCGATCGGTACATTCGCTGCCTCAGAGTGACTTGCATATTTAACAATCAGTCAGAGTGAGATAGCTTATAAACGAGAGAGAGCTTTCTTTTGCCGGTATAAAAAAGAGAGCATATGCAAACGGCGCTCATTCGATTTCATAGCGGCGTGCGAATAAGCTGGCATACTCTATATAGTTTGTCACACTAAAAGTTAATATTTACAAAAAGAAAATAAGAATAACTAAATAAAATGGCCAGCCCCGTGGAACTGCTCAGCCTCACAAATCCCGTCTTCAAGAGCTTCGCCTTCTGGGTCGGAGTTTTGGTCATCAAAATCCTGCTCATGAGCCTTTTGACAGCCATCCAGCGATTCAAGACAAAGGTGAGAGGGTGTAAAGGGAAAGGGGTGCAGAATGGGAGAGGTCGCACAGTGGGGTCAAAGTCTCGCGCCAGTGAAAGTTTAAACGGATCAAACAGAAAATAAATAGTTTGCACTTTTTTTAAGTTTTAATTTTTAATTTGTCTAACAACGATATAATAATAATATTTGAAGCTTACCTCTAGAAACTTCATTTGAATTACAGTAATATTAGTTAAAAATTTACACAATCGTACCAGAGGCTTACGTGAGTGAAAGTTTTATCAATGTAGTTAAATAAATTAAATAATTTACATATGTGTTTTAAAAAAATGTCCAGTAAATGCTAGAAACTGAAGTCCATTAAAAAAATTAACCTTTAGTAAATAAATAAAAGAGGTCACATAATTGTTTACCCTCTAGAAATTGCACTTTATTGATATAAAACCAGTTATTAATTAATTAATAATAATTGTTTTTATATTAACCTTTTGGCTTAGGATAGAATTATAGAAAATAAAACGCCTACAAGCAGTTTAATCTTATGATCAACTTATCAAACCTTAAAATCAATATTTTAGTATTATCAACACATACTGATATTAAAAAATGTATAGACATAATTATTATTTTTAATAGTTATTTGTGTATTACAAGCCATTTTCGCATATCATTCATATACATAAGTTGTCTGTCGTAATTACACTTTAAATCCATAGTCATTCCTATTATTTTTGTTGCTGTATTTTTAATATATATAAATATAATTTTAAATAATATTCAATATTGTTTTGACTGTTTAAATTTTAATATTTGATATATATTTTTATTAAAAATATAACAAATATACTTTGAAAAAAATCTAATTTGTGTCGTTATCTTCGCTTTTAGACCTTTGCCAACCCCGAGGACCTGATGTCACCCAAGCTGAAGGTCAAGTTCGACGATCCGAATGTGGAGCGAGTGCGTCGTGCCCATCGCAACGACTTGGAGAACATCCTGCCCTTCTTCGCCATCGGCCTGCTTTACGTCCTGACCAACCCGGCCGCCTTCCTGGCTATCAATCTGTTCCGGGCCGTGGGCATCGCCCGCATCGTCCACACGATCGTCTATGCCGTGGTCGTTGTGCCCCAGCCATCCCGCGCCCTCGCCTTCTTCGTGGCCCTCGGCGCCACCGTCTATATGGCCCTCCAGGTGGTCCTCTCGGCCTTCTAAGCGCATAGGTCTAGTCCATAATATTTTTTGTTTTTCTATCTTTTTTTTAAATGTTTTCTTAAATATATGTAAAAATACACCTGCCTCGGCTTTGGTGCTGTTAGATCACAGTTTGTAAGTGTTTTTCTCTTGAAGATGTTATAAAGGTGGATCCCTATATACATATATTTAATGTTTAAAATTAAATTACTATCTGGTATATATGTACACATGTACGATCATACCTCGAAAATTGTATTTGAAATGTACTTCCATTGCATTTACAGTTTGAAAACCTTTTTGAAATAGTTTGAAAGCTTTCCAGCTTTCCAGTTTTGCGGAAACTGGTTGTGGTAATCAATATTTTCAGTGAATTTTCTTATCAATATAATCTTATAAAATAATATTTTGTTAGTTTGATACAACTTTAAATAATACATTTTTAATTTCCTGCTGGAAAAACTTAAACAAATGTAAATAAAGCATTTTTAACAGAGGATAAAGACTTAAAGTTGCGTGATTAATCAGTTTAAATAGTTTATTTTTAATACAAAAAATCACAGCTCAAGTTATGTGTGAGTGAGAACGAAAACCGGTTATCGCAGGCGCTCTCTTTTTTCTAGCTGCTACAATGGGATAAAAAGGGAATCATAAATCAAAATTAAACATTTGTATAGGACAAAAATAGGCTTTTGAACCTATGGCGATTAACTTTTTATTATGTGTTTTTTATTTTTTACTCTTCGTTAAGGGTAAATGATTTGATTTAAATGTAATTTTTATAAATAACTTAAATTTATGTAAAAGAGAATTGAAAATCTAGGCTTTGCTTAGCAAAATATTTAATTTTGTAGGAGCTTTTAAGAATTTGGGTGTTCAATTCTATTTATTCGTTCCATACTTTAATACAGCTTGTGAATTTTTTCACTAAAACTAATCTCAGATTATATGGTCACTTAATAAGTCTTCTACAATCTCAGAAACTAAAAGAAACCATTTAGCATCATAAGTCAAATATCTTCCTTTATTACCCTGTATCTTATAACATATTTTATAAAACATGTCACTGTTATTTTTTCTCCACGGTGTGAACATGAGTTGTGGGGGCGTCGGTGCCCACTGTGCGCTGCCGCCGTCTCTGCGGGCGTCGCAGTCGACCGTTAGCCGCAAGTTGTTTGCGTTGGTTGGCCTTCTTGTCGGATTCTGTTCAATTGCCTTCGTTGGCAGCATCGTAACGGTCGCTTTTCGCAAGTCCCGCTAGTTGGTTGCTCCTTAATCACGAATTACCAGCCCTAGTAAGTACAACTATAGCTAAAATAGTGCAGAGTTCATTCGTCTTTATCCTGTAAACTGCGAAGTTCCTGGGGGCCTCTCGCTCGCACTTCACGCACTTAAAAAAAGAAGGAAACGGAAAAGTTTCAACCGGCAAAATACAACTACGAAGAAAAGAGAAGAGAGAAACATGTGCTTGTCTATTTTTTGTGTTGCTTTATTCTTTACATATGCCGATTGTTGTTCTTGTTTTTCTATTTTGAAGCCGCGTGCTTGTGAAACAAATATGTAAATATGTATGTATAGAAATACATATGGAGAAGCGAGTGTATGGCGTGTACATGTGATATGTAGGGGGAAGATAAACAAGAAAGAGCAATAAAAAGTCCTCTCTTTCATGCTCTTCCTGACTCCTGTGGGTGGGGATAGGGGGAAGATAAAGAGAAAGAGAAGAAAAAAAGAGTTTACACCGAAAGAAATGGAAATAAATGATTTGAACCATAAAAATATATTAAATTTATTAAATCTTATAAAACAAAATAATAAAATCTAAAATTGAGAATTTTATTCTGAAATATTTGAATTTTGTTAATAAGTATTAATTATTATTTTTTACTTTCTGGTTAGTTAGACAAAAGTGTCGAGTTTATATTTTAAAAAATTTGGAAATTTATTTTTTATTTAATTTTTATTGTTTTTATTTAATTTTATTCCATTATTTTTATTTATTATTTAAAATCTAGAATATTTCATATTAAGTGAGCCAGAAGGGGAGTCCAGTAATTACCCCTTTGGAGAGGTGATTAGCTTCCGACCTACCCTAGACTAGACTAGTCCTAAGTTCGAGAGATACCCACAAAACGTGGCACCAGATATCAGATACCAGAGCTTTTCCTATTCGATGTGTGGGAATACTATGTATACATTGTCCCTTATTTAAGTTTACTTTGTGGGCGATAGACTTCGAGTGGCGTAGCGTATAGAGTGCAATCAATCTGTGCCACCTGGAAACCTTATCTGTGAAATCCAACTTGAACGGCAGCCACCTATTGTATATTTACCGACTTCGAGAGGGTTTCGAACTGAAAGTGAAACCATTAAGATAAACAATAAATATTAATAAAACGGGAGTATCCTAAGAAAGGCAAGGAGCATATTTATAAGACGTAGATTAACTCACTTTTCTCGATAAGGAAAACCTTGGAATGCAAATCACACAAATAGCAAGTCATTGCCTTCGAGTAAATATTTCTGAACAACCTGAAAACATTTCTAATATAATACTATATCTAATGGTGCTCAAACAGCTGATAAGCTTTCCTTCCTGTTTTCTAATGGCTCTTCCTTATATCAACTTCTGTCACGTCATCATTTGCAAGATCCGACCTTTTCGCTTTCGATCGAATAATAATCTCACGCAATTTCGCAATCTCAGTCGCAATGAGACAACAATAATTCAGATTTAGATTTAGCTTTCTTTCGTGTTTTCCTACGTACATATGTCCACCGGAATCGGGCGATAATGATGGGGTCACCGAAGGTCCAATATCACCATCTGGCACTTTTTCGAATTAAAATGCTTTGAAAAAATTGCAGCAGATTCATTTTTTAAACTTCAATGATCAGTTTTTAAAGCTGACTTGCTTTTTCTAAATAAAAATCATTCAAGATAGATTTAGGGGAATCCTGATTGACTCCTTTTATTTTAATTTAGTAAATTATCTTAAAAAGCTAATCCTAAGCTATTGAAACTTTTTGGAATCTTGTGATGAAATTATGAAAACGTAATCGTAGAAAGCATAAAAACTGTAAGAAAGAACCGCGAATTCTTTAGGAGTGAAGCTACAACAAAGTATGTATATTGTTCAGAAATATTTTAAAACAGTGATACTTACGAATCCGGCTCTACAGTAAGGCTAAAGAACATATGTATATTATATACATATTTATACAAGATCTTTCAACCAAGTTTTCCTTTTCCTTATAGAGATGCCTCAACCGAAGCCGTACGAAAGGCCCGCGGACTTTATCGATCCAGGAAAGCCCTCGAAGTGCAAATGGCATCTGGGAACCACCGAAAAGTCGCCTCACACTCAACGGGGCATCGCACACCGCCAGCAGATCACGCCAAACATCCTCGAAGTGATCGGATGCACGCCACTGGTCAAGTTGAATCACATTCCCGCCAGCGAGGGAATCGAGTGCGAGATGTGTAAGTCCATCAGGGGAAAAACTCCCAGAAAATAATTTTCTAGGGATTTTCTATTGATAGAAAAGCTGTGAGACAAAACTCAATCTAATTGCCTCCCCCCTTTACAGATGCTAAGTGCGAGTTCCTCAATCCCGGAGGATCGGTGAAGGATCGCATTGGCTATCGGATGGTGCAGGATGCTGAGGAGCAGGGCCTGCTTAAGCCAGGATTCACAATCATTGAACCGACGTCGGGCAATACGGGAATTGGACTAGCGATGGCCTGTGCCGTCAAGGGATACAAGTGCATTATCGTGATGCCAGAGAAGATGTCCAACGAGAAGGTGTCGGCGCTGCGAACCCTTGGGGCCAAGATCATACGTACACCCACGGAGGCAGCCTATGATTCGCCGGAGGGATTGATCTACGTAGCCCAGCAACTGCAGCGGGAAACGCCCAACTCGATTGTCCTGGATCAGTATCGGAACGCTGGCAATCCACTGGCCCACTACGACGGCACCGCCGCTGAAATCTTGTGGCAGTTGGACAACAAAGTGGATATGATTGTGGTCTCCGCGGGAACTGCTGGCACAATAAGTGGTATTGGTCGGAAGATCAAGGAGCAGGCTCCCAATTGCCAAATTGTCGGCGTGGATCCCTATGGTTCTATCCTGGCCAGACCCGCTGAGCTTAACAAGACCGATGTGCAATTTTACGAAGTGGAGGGAATTGGTTATGATTTTCCACCCACCGTATTCGATGATTCCGTAGTGGATGTGTGGACGAAGATCGGTGATCCAGACTGTTTCCCCATGAGCCGTCGCTTGAACGCGGAAGAAGGTTTGCTGTGTGGCGGTTCCAGTGGCGGAGCGATGCATGCTGCCCTCCAGCATGCTCGCAAACTAAAGAAGGGTCAGCGGTGCGTGGTCATCCTGCCCGATGGCATCCGAAACTACATGACCAAGTTCGTTTCGGACAACTGGATGGAGGCACGCGGCTTCAAGGAGCCAGTGAACGAGCACGGTCACTGGTGGTGGAATCTGGCCATCGATCAGCTGCAACTCCCTGCTCCTCCGGCAATTCTTAAGTCGAATGCCACGGTTGGCGAGGCCATTGCCTTGATGAAGAAACACCGCGTAGACCAATTGCCGATTGTAGATCAGGATGATGGGTATGCTCCATGAACTTCATCCCCTTTGCGATTTCATTTCTAACATAATTTTACCTTTAACTTAGTTCTATTCTGGGCGTGGTGGGCCAGGAGACACTGATCACCCAGATCGTGAGCATGAACCGTCAGCAGTCCGATCCCGCAATCAAGGCCATTAACAAGCGAGTCATCCGGTTAAACGAATCCGAGATTCTTGGCAAGCTGGCGCGCGTCCTCGAGGTCGATCCCAGTGTGCTTATCTTGGGCAAGAGCTCGTCCGGCAAGGAGGAACTCAAAGCAGTGGCCAGCAAGTTGGATGTGACTACTTTTATTGCCGCCGGCAAGCAGAGTCCCAAAGCCAATGGCACTACCAACGGCAACAGCCACTAATTTAAAGAGTTTCCAAGTCTCTGAAAATCCAACTTCCTACCGACTATATCTACGCGCCATTAACTTATACCCGCATGCATTTTTGCCTTATTTCCAATAAAGCATTTTATTATACACGAATCCTGGGGAGTTCTACTTGCAGTTTGGATAGTTGTTAAGCTGTATAAATTTACTTAATATTCTCGAACTCTTGGAATAATATAATTTTCAGGGGCAGTCTCTCCTTTTCCATTTCACTTATATTTAGAGCAACGCATCTTTCCTACCTTCCTTTTTCTAAAACAGAGGAATATATATTTTGGTCAGTTATTTAACTCCGTTGTCGTATATCGAGAAATAGTTATAAACCGGTTGTGAAGTCACTGCCCATGGAAATTCTTTTATCTATGGATTTTCTAGTAACTTCAAAAATAATAGTTAGATTAAAAATCTTGATAGGAAGCTGGGCAGTGCATTATGGGCGTGGTCCATACTTAAATAAACTTGCGTAGATATTGATTATAACTCAACGGATGGATAGAACCCTGCCCAAAAAAATATTCACGCTTCCTTTTTCCTTCGCTTATCAAAACCTACCTGTCCATCCTTTATGGAACTTCAAAGATGGAATCTTATCTTTGTATATATCACCTTTCTTACTTCCCGTATAAACTTTCTTGTTCTCTAATTTGGCTCTTCTGTAAATGAAATGTTTCATTTAAATCAAACGAAAATATGCTGAAGGCCATTTCTGTTGGACATCAATTCAGCCAATCTTATGCCCTTCTGTTTCACAGTTCACATTCTCACTCACCACATTTCAGTAATATGTTTCTTAAAAATAATTTTTAAGACAAAAAAAACAAAAAAACTTAACATTTTATTTTGATGTTACTTCTATGAAAGTCAGAATAGTTATGGGAATTCATAGGATCGGTTCCTCATAAGGTTGAGTTTCGTTTAAAGTTGTTTTCAAAGGTTTTTTGTTTTATACATAAAATACTTTTAAACAATTTGTAAAATTAGACGTATAAATCATATAAAGCTTAACACGAAGACAAGAGGAAGACATTATTTACTCTCAGTAATTGCGAATAAGTTTTCCGATCAGATCTGGCTGAGGAACTTTAAGATATAAAAAGGTGGAATTAGACGATAGACTAAAACCGTTGAGATCTTAGGCACTATAAAAAGCTAGAAAGTTAAGTAAAATAACTAAAACTTATGTTTTCCTTTTTTTCCGATTGAGCAAAATGTGAGCAGCACATGGGCAGTGCGTCGTCGGTTACTAAACTGATTTACAGTTTTGGTAAAATAATGTCTAAATTGGATAGAAAGTAGCGGGTATCTTATAGTCATGGCACTCGACTATGGCGTTTCTTCTTGTTTATATTTCCCATCGGTTAATTTTCAACTTCATTGATAGTTTTTGTATAAGAAATTATAAAACTCCTATTTAAAAGAGCAATTTTTTAGTTTCTTCGTGCTGACTATTTCTTAGAACGAAACCCAAATCAAAATTTCAAACTGATTCTGATCACTTTTCACATTATATATATATTTAGTTCGATTCGCTTACAAACTGTTTTCTTGCTTAAGGAGTTACACGCATCTGGTACATTTAAGACATTTTTAAAAGTAAAAAAAAAACATGGTTTTCAGGTTGAAGTTCAGTGCAAGTATAGAACTAAATGCATGAGGGGAGAAGCCAGAGCGTTGAGTGAGATTCCAAACGAACGAGATAGAAAGAGAGAGCTAATGTACAGAACACAGAATAGAGCGGAATGATGGCGACCTCTTCTCTTTAAACACCGCGATTCGGCAGATCCTTGACCTTGTAGATGCGCACCAGCCAGTGCTCCGTGGTGTAGGCCTCCTCCAGGACATCCAGCTCGAAGTCCTTGTTGCCAATTTCGGCAGCTCGGACACGATCGTAACCCTGGGCTTTGCCCCCTTCAGTGTACATCTGCCCGAAACGATAGTAGCACATCTTATACATCAAACAGTTGAGCAAAGTGGGTGAGCCCTCTTTGTCCACTCGGAATTCTCCATTGGCCGCATAGTAATCCTTTTCGCGGATGTGTGCCCCGCGATCCGTACTGCCGCCGATGCGCACCATCCACAGGAACTTGTTGATATCGTCTGAGGAGTAACCAGTCAGTCCTCCGAAGATGACCAGAACGTAGTCCACATCCAGTTCGCGCATTATCTCGTAGGCTTTCTCCTCCGACGAAGCCATCGCTTGGCCAACGCGAGATATATGCGTGTTGTTCCAGGTATTGTTGTCCACCAATATCGTCCGATTGGCCATGGCTGTTATCTGGTAGCCATAATCCCACCAGGACATGATGCGAGCATCCTGAAAAACCAATTTAGAAGCAGTTTAGTTTGGCTACTCAATGAAAATTTGCAAAATAAATAGGTTTCTAGAGTTTGGTCAGCTTGGTTGTTGTAGTACTCATTATGTTTCATACTCTTCCTATCAAGAATTTACAATATAGTCATCATGGAAGGGGATATCTTGCGATGCTTAAGGGCTATATAATATGAAGTGGAAACTCACCTCCGGAGTGTTCATCTGCAGCCAGTAGTAGGCCTCGCGGAAGTCATCGAAGATGATGCGGCCGCCATCGTGCGACCTGGCACTCAGCACAATACTTGGCGAGGAGTACGCCTCCGAGGTGACCCAGGTGCAGTGCAACGTGTACACGATCAGCATGAGTGTAATAACACCCACGAATCCAATGGCCACCTCGCTCTTCACGCCGCCTGTCTGCTGCTCCAGCTTCTTGTGCTGCCGTCTGCTTTCCACACCCTGCTTTCCTGATCCTCCGGCATCCACGCTCTTGATGTACTTGGCCAGCAAATGAGATATTGCAATCCCGGACAGCACACACATCACCGGTGCCAGGACCAACATCAGCCGCACCATCACGCCGGCGAAATAAATACTGGTTACACCATATAAAATGATGAAGATATTCGAGTCGGTCAGCTTGGAGAAGCAGAAGTACAGCCCAGCGGGAAAGAGGAATACTAAGATCTGCAAAGGGAAGTGCAAGAAAAGCCAATAAATAAACTGTATAATATGACAGTTAAGGCAAAGGAACTACTATTATATTACTGCCTCAGCGATCAAAGTGCAAGGTAATCATTTGAATGCATTAAGGCGCAACTCATTCGCATCGTGGTTATGTTCTCATCCGCGGCAGTTAAATCTTTTCCAGTTAGTAAATTGAATGTAAATTTCAATCTTTTAAAAAATTCAAAAATCTTTTATGCTCTTTCTCATTCCAATTAAAACAAGTTCCTCCTATATTAGTACATTTTTATACCTTATTAGAAAACCCGCAGCTTAAGCTTAACCTCAAATATATTAATAATTTTTCCAAACGTAACTCACCTGCAGATCAAAATAAAACGACGACCAGGACGTTGGCTGGTGTTCCGACACCGAAGCAATGATTGGAATGTGATTCTTGGCATAGGAAGGATCCAGTAGTGAGTAAAATCTGCCAGTCCAGGGCGAGACTTTTCCGGTTATCGTGAGTAGAGTGCCCACAACGAACACCACAGTCAGCACACTAGAAACCAACGTCTTGAAGAGCAAATCAAAATGATCCTTGGGAATGCGAGAACGCAGATAGTCCACGAAGGCATGAATCTGACACAGACCAAAGGTGCCCAATGCCTGCAAGGAAGAAAATAAAGTAGTTAAGACTTTTCAATATTTAAAATTAACTTAAAATATATACTATAAGTGATCAAATCAGTTAGTTTAAATAGTACTCATTATGTTTCATACTCTTCCTATCAAGAATATATTAAATATTCATCACAAAAGATCACATTTCTCTAAGATCATAATTTAACAATTATTAATTCCTTACCAGCATGTGCTCGGAACTCTGGATGGGTTGGAATCCCACGAAAGAGATCTGCATGGACAGAATAGTGCCTACGCAGTACAGGGTACTGTACGCTATGTAGATCCTGTGTGAGAAACGTCCGGTGATCATCAGCGCCAGCACGTGCAGCGGGATTAGGTTAATCAGGAAGACATAACCACCCCACGAGGAGACCATATAGAAGTAGGCCAAGGCGGACATGGCCGACCAGAAGATGGTGCCCGTCTTCACCGCTTTTATCCACAAATAGTAGGTGAAGAGCATGCAGAAGATGGCGATGCCCTCATTGTCGTACGATCCCGCTACAGATCGGGAGATATATCCCGGAACGATGGAGATCAGTGCGGCGGCCACCAGACCAGCTCCGGTACTCTAAAATAAGAAAAGAAAATTATTTTTAACATGTGCGGATCATTAGGAAAGATAGAGGGCACAGATCAACGTGGATAATATACATAGCTCTGATCACTGGCATGGCCTCTTGAAGAGAGATTAACTTACATGGATCTCTTTTGTGAGAGCATAGGTCACTAGCGTGGTCAGCGAGGAGAAGAAGGGCGCTAGGAAGACGCACACATTACGGATGTCGATGGTGACATTAAGCAGCCACATAAGGCGGTACAGGGCCGCAGAGGTTAGCATCAGTCCCGGGTAAATGGTGCCGCCGATGATCCTACCCAGGGGATACCAGGCACGGTCATCGAACCAGTTGTGGAACTTGTAGAAGCCCTGCTCCGCGAGGAACCGCGTGGTGCGGTAGTTAAAGTACGGGTCGAACTCATGGATGACGCTCTCGAATCGCAGCACAGAGAACAGGCGCGTGGCGAACGCTGCACAATAAAAAGAGGAAAAGGAAGTTCAAGACGGCACTATCAAGAGGAAGACGCACCGCTGGAGGGGACACACGCTTATCTATCGGTCTATCGATATTTTCTTAGGGCTGGACAATGACTTCATCGTCTGTTACTTTCTGCTTAGGTAAACTTCGTCATTTTTTTAATTGATGTACTGTAGATAAACAGTTTAATTTCTGTGGATAAATTTAGGTATATTACGGATAAGCTAGAATATCTGCCTACTTAGATATTTTAAAGAAGTTGAGGAATTAAAATTGTAATAAACTTAAAAAAAATAATTCGAATAATGAATAATTAGATATCCATGAAATATCGTATGTAAATTCTTTGATTTTATTCACAGTAAGGGCCATCCACAGGCGCTAGCGATGCGCCACTGCAGAATATCGATGTATCGATTGCGAGGAAGCTTAAACCAGATGCGAATGTTTGATTTTTTTTTAAACACGCCCACTCACATACTGCTAAATATGGGAGATTTACTCACATAAAACCGCTGCTAGGATGAGAATAGCCAACTTGACCAGGTGCTCCTGCTTTTCCCAGGTGAGCAAGCCCCGGCCGACGCCACCCACGTCCAGAGCCATTTTCTCAGCTCTTCCGCCTGCCGGCGTTTTTCGGCACTGTTTGTTTCGGTTTTACGGAGACAAAGTCTTCGGTACTCGTTTTTCACTGTATTCTGATTGTTTAGGAATTGGTGCCGCACCACTGGAACCACAATTTTCAACGCTTTTAGCACAAAACAATGGCTGGAACCGGAGTGCGGCGAAATTGCAAACTTGCAATTCGTGGCAAAGAGCGCAGAGTGCTATCGGTTATCGCGTGATATCGTCTGCTTATCGGCGGTGGTGGTGACAACTCTGGCAGCTGGGCGCTTTTTTATTGTTTTTCTTTCAGCAAACCTTTTCTTCGGCTCTTTGCGGTTTCTTCGATGGTTAATTCTTGATTTATGATAAGTTACTATTGGTGACTCACTTAATAGCATGGCTGGTATTTAAATCGGCCATTTATAACCGGCTGTTACTGCGCTTATTTCCCAGCTGTTTTTGGGAGAGCTACCGGGAGAGCGAAAGAGAGAAGTAGAGAGAGCCCACGCATGAGAGCTGGAAATACGTATTTCAGCCACCCCACCGTGGGCTAAATGCTTTTGTTTCTGACAGGGAAATATGCAGATATGTTTTCATTATATTGTGGTTTGCAAAAAATAACTGGTTCGACTGTATATAAATAAATAGCCTTAAAAAATGTTAAGTCAGGCAACGTAAAAAATTAAAACGTTCAGGAAAATACTACGTTGAACAAAATTATCTATTTATCTGTTAAGTTAAATAATTTACTGTAACCACTTTGAATTCATAGAGACAAAATACTTATTCAGGCTTAAAAGATTTATTTTATTCTAGTTATTTTAAAGTTGTTCTGTAAAAATAAGGCAATTAAATATACAATTGATTTTGGCCCACTGTGCACCGCGAAATTCGTTTTCATTGTGGGAGAGCAAGAGAGAGGAATGGTGAGCTCTCGCGAGCGCAAGGCAGCCGTTCATATTGCCATATATTTCCCATATAAAAGCACCGCTGCTTCGTGTTTTCGTTGCGTTTTAAAAAAATCTCGAACAAAATATGACAAAAAAACATCGGATAAATCGCCGGGCAGAAAAATCACGGTTTCCAGTGAAAAACTACTGATACTTATCAAATTACTGAAAAACACACATATATTTTCATTCGAAACGAGAATCAAATCGACGAAAAGAGCCAAGCACACAAATAAAAGTTTACTCCTGCTGGTAAATAGAAAAAGTTGTACCTAAAACAATAGTAAAAAGAAAACATAAACTCACGTGTTAAATATTTAACAACAAATTGTTCTCACCGATACACGGACACCTACAGATGCGTGTGTTTGTATGTGTGTGATTTGCTAGTTCAAATCGTAGATTTTTTTTGGAGTGGCAGCTTTGTTATGTGCAATATCCACCCGTATATATATTATACGTGTGTATATGTGTGTATATATATACTTGCGGCGACGTTGTCGCTAGTTTTTTTTAATTGAAGTCGCGCCAAAAGTAATTCAATAATTACCATTGCAAGTTTGTTTGTTGTTGTGAGTACAGAAGTGCAGCAAGAATGGTGAAAAATCGAACATCAACACGCTTTTAAAAATGCATGTGTTATGTATATGTATTATATTGGGATGTAATTGTGTGCGTACTGGTGGTGGCAGCGACGCCGGCAGAGGCAGCGATTGCAGTTGGCAGCACGCATCAAAGAATAAGAACAGAAGGAGTACGTTGAAGAAGGCGGGGGATGAAAGGAAGAAAGGGAAAGCAAAAGCAACAAACTCCAACTTCTGCAGCTGCTCGTTCTCCTTCTTCGTTCTCTTCTCCTTTGCCCCCCACACACACATCCCACCCTATTCCCACTCCCACTCCCACTCCTACTCCTACTCCCTCTTACTGTATGTGTGTGTGGGTGTTTGCATTTGCATGGCATTTCTGGCATGCAACTCTCTCGGGTGTGTTTGTGTGTGTGTGCGTGTGTATTTATGGAAGCTTGTGTGCCTAGTCGAGCGAAAGAGAAGGCAGATCGGGAGCCACTATTTATTATTATTCAAGTTCCCAAAAAAAAAAAAAAAATCGAAGAAATGCATCAGAAAAGCTTAACCCTTGGTTTTTAAATTTCTGAAATGCAAACTGCTTTCGATTTCTTCTTCTCAGATTTTATCGAATTAGATTGAAGTTAAGAATATTTTTATATATGCGAAGTTGGTAAAAAAAAGTAAAAGGAATCAAAGTTTCGAAACGAGGTTAATAGAACAATGCGGTTAACAATAGGATCAAAAATATCACCAGAAATGGTTGATTTGAGTTCGAAAATTCCTATTTAAAGATCTAATGGTATGACGAATTAGTATCAAAGAATTAGATTAGTTTTATCCAAATTTTTAATTTGTTTTCGAGTTATAAGTTTTTCAAATTTTTTTAAATTTACCATTTTAGGATCTAATGGTATGGGAAAAATAAAATGATTAAATACCCGCTTAGGATCTAGTTGGGTCAATAATTCTTTTCATCTATTTATATTTCTAATAAAATGGATAGGTTAAGTTTCAAAATATTCACTTCTAGATTAAATGGCATGAAAAATACTCAATTTATCGTGAAAAATAAATGAAATGAGTTTCGAAATTCCCATTTTAAGATCTAATAAAACCCGAAATTTAATACTTGGTAAAATTCTACTGAAAGAGAAGAATAATCCTAAAGATCAACTTAATATTGAAATTGCAAACTGGAAACTCTAATTGTATCTTGAAAACCCATTTCATTCTCAAATCCAATCAAATCGTAAGGTCAAGGCAGCACTATCTTATCTATCCATAAAGTTGAATAACTGCCAGCTACTTGATATCGCATCTTAAGATAGTTTAGATAAGATAAGTGACCTTGAGTGCCGAAAAAAGGGAGTGACATTGGCTCAATGGAAATTTAGCTTATCAGTTGTCGCCTCTAGATGAAAGTGGATAGTTGCTTTTCATAATTGAAATTTTTCCCAACACCAAGAAAATTGACTGAACACCATTAGTATTGTAATCCATCAATTTTGTGTGTATATTTATGTCTACCATTTCCTAACCCATTTACATAGCCAATGAGTGATTAAGTGATTTTTTCCTTCTTTTTTTTTCTTCTGTTTTTTGGATTGCTGCTTTCGCTTGAAAACAATTTACAACAATTTGGCCTTGTTTTTTCTTCCGTTTTTTTTTTACCATAAAAACGATGTAAAATTTAATACGGCATATAGGGCGAGAGACAATGTTGCTGTCTCGTTATTGTTATTACTATTATTTTTGTTTACATGTGGGAAAAAGGAAATTGGCAAGAGAGAAAGAGCAAAGTTCCCGCCGTTTCACTTTCGACTCACTGAAATTGTTTAAAAATTACAAATAACAAAGGGAAACGGCTGAGGAACCCTCGAGAAATGCTGCCAGCGCTGTGTTTTTACTCAATTAATATCGTGTAATTAAACCTTTACGTCGGTTACGACTTTAATGTTTGATCTTCTCCCCTTTTGCTCTCTCTGTCTTCTGTTCGTTTTCCACTTTATTTTCCCCTCCATCGAAGGTTCCATTTGCAATTGTTGCCATACAAGTTCCGCTTCCAATTGGATTACGACTATAATTTGTCTGCGGGCCAAATACCAATTAGAATCGGCCAAGATATGGAACTCTGCGGGCCGTCTAGAAGTCTATCGAAGTCTGGATACCCTTTAGTCAGTTAATATTACAAAGAAAGTAAAACATTTTGAGATTTGAGAACTAGAACTTATTGAATTTAATAACATTTAATAACAAAATGATACTTTGAATTTGAATTTTTAAACCGCCTTTAACTTCAGTTTTCATAAAAACAAGCTGGTTGAGTTTCTTTAAGCTGGTTTGCGACATAAAATCGAATATAACTCAAAATATCTGAAAATCGGAACTTTCTCCATAATGGTTCAAGCGATTTGTGGGGGAAAATGCAAACGAAGAAAATCGCTTATATATAATAGCTATATAGATATATGTATATGGGAAAACGCATTTGATGCCCCCCACCACGATTTTACGATGATTGCGACTGAGCAAACACCAATTGCTGGACAAAGGCACTCGATGACTTCGATACAAAATTACCACCAACTCGAACTAAAGGGAAAGATGGGAGGAGAAGGGGTAGGGGAAAGAAAAAACCCCGCTTTTCCAATATTGTCACTGGCCATTGACATGCCATTCAACCCATCCCTTTTTCACCTATTTTCCTTCAGCGACTTTTCCCTTTCTTCTGGCAATTATCAGCCGCAACTTATTGGCATTTTCGCATTAAAAGTTTCCCAGTCTGTTTTTCTACTTTTCTACTTTTCTGTTTTTCCTCTTTTACAGTTTTTCCCTTTTCGGTTCTGTTTTTAATGTTTTTTTTTTCCCCCTCAAAAACTGTTTTACTGGCTTCGTTAAAAACCAAATTAACTGCGTTGGTTGCTTAAACTGTCTTTAAGATTTATTTTTCAACAGAAAATATGTCTTAATATGATAATTCTTTAGCTAAGAAAAACTATAATTGTTTTTTAATTTATTGTTGAAAATGTAAAACTGAAATTGGTTGATTTTTCATATTAAGTTAATTATCTTTTGAGGGAACTTAAAACCTACAAAAAAGATTGAACTCTTGATAAGATCATCTGAAATTTGTTAAAGTAAATTTTGATTACCAATGGCGATTTATGGTTTTCTTGCACTTGTACTACATTTTAACATATATTATTATATTTATTTTAAACTTTTTTGGTTTTGTTTTTTGAGCCGCCTTCGTTGGCATTTTTATACCCATTTTTAGTTTCGGTTATGGACTTTAATTTCTGGTCTTTTAAGCGAAGTCGCGCTTACTTGTATTTGCATTTGTTGTTGGGTTTGGTTTTTGTTTTTTGTTTTTTGGTTTTTGTTTTTCGTGTTATGTGTGTGTGTTCTTTTTTTCAAGGCAACAAACCGATGACTTCATCTTCTCTGCCCACATTTTTGTTGTTGCCGCACAGTGTGTGTGCCTGCGTTGGTGTGGGTATACCCTTTATAGAGAAAGCATTTCCGACCCTCAAAGCCTTAAAGTAAACGACCCAAAATTGGTTGTAATAATTATCAATTAGTCGCTATTAAAATGGGTTAACTCGTTTTGTGTTTTGGCCTTTCCCTATTCGATTTTGGGTAATCACTTTCCTAATATATTTTTACATATTTTGAAATAATTGAACTAAATAAGTGATGCAATAGGAAAGAGATTGTAAAAAGTTATTTAACTTATATTATATTACTAGAAAAAGATTAATTTATTATTTATTCAGTTATTTATTTTGTAGTATTCTTTGTTACCATTTTTATTAACTAGGTCATCAAAAAGAGAATATATACTGGCCCGAATCTACAGACAGAGCCCTCTTAAAGACTTATTCCCTGCGATTTATCACAAAGCTGTGAAATTTAATTAACATTTTAGAATAATTTTATTTTATTTCCATATCAAAGATGATTTATTAGATATAAGAAAGGGTTGATACTTAGATACTTTCACTTGATTCTATTTAAACTTAAACCCTTTATTCTTAACTACAATAATATCATTATTTCGGATAGAAATTATTCAAATATACCTTCCAGGGTAGCAGCTCTTTCGGTAATCATTGACCATTTCTATTGCTTTGTCTCGTTGCACACCCCCGAAGCGTTGATGATAATGATGAGGAAGTGTTGGCCTTGTTTGTTTCTGCGGCTGATGTGTGTCACTTGCCACTATCATCATCATTATGCTTATCATTATCAGCCGCACGGCAAAGACATTGTTGCAGTGCAGCCAATATGCAGAGTGTCGACATCACCAGTGCATCATGATGATGATCGTCGTCATCATTGTCAGACTATCTGTCAATGGTCGGCTGACCGCTTTCAATGACTGCACTTAGAGAAAATCTTTGACATAGGAAATTATAATGGAAAAGGAAAATGTATAATTTCATTAACTGATCATAAGGAATATATATATAAGGAATATATAAATATAAATATGGCGCAAATTTAACAGAAACGATCTAAAATTATGAACAAATCTGCAAAGTGAATGGTCACACTTTTTTTATACATATCTATAATATCTATACATATTTTCTCTCAGTGCATTGGCGACCACGAACTTTGCGACATCAAATTGATTATTTTGATGCCCTTCTTTGTCGCTCGTTTATCCTCCGCTACTCCCATTCCCCCTTACTCCGCCTTTCCTGCTCGCTGGCTTTGTTTTATTATTCATGTCCAGGCCGGAAATGTTTCGTTTTCCATTCGCACTCACCAGACCAACCCCAACACTATGAAATATACAGGGACCGCGAACTACAGACTACAGGCCATGTATGTACATAAAGACATACATATGTACATAAATACATACAGATGTACATCGAGCGAGCCCTCACCCACTTTTTGGCCACTTTCCCAGTGTTTTCATTCTTTTTCTTTTACATTTTTATTTTTATTTTTTCATTTTGAGTTTTATTTTTGTGTTGGCCCTCTCACTCCTCACTCTATTGGGGTCAGCAAACAAAACTCGCACCCGTTGTTTGCTTTGTTCTACATGTGTGTTTGTGTGTGTGTGTGTATATATATAGTATACTCTCTGGAGAGTTTTTTGGCCAAGTTTTGTTGGCCTGGCCGAGTCGGGAACAGGTTGTGCGGATCTCTATCGCATAAAGCAACAAAAACATTGCAGATAGTCTTTGGTTCCGTGAAATTCTGTGTGGATTTTGGTATGATTTATATCGGATAAGCATGATTTTGTGTAGATTTTCGTATTCCATGGAGTATTTTGGATTTCTGTGAATTTATGCGGATTTTTGGTAGCGCTGATCTGCAGATACTAAGAGTGGAGTGGAGGTCAGTGAGGTACCAGAAATTGTCTGGGGAGTAATAAATGTCCCAATCAAAATCAAAACGCATTCCGCTTACTCAGCTGAGTTCCATATTCATAATGCAACTTATGAGATAGTCTCAACCAGCCATGCTTAATTCATCTGAGGAAACGTACTGCAACCGATTTACTATATATGAATCATTCTACAAATACTAATCGCAGTAAATAACAGTCTAGTTAATAAATTATTCATCTGTTAAGGAGAAACTCAGAAAGAGTCACTTCAAATTATAAGATATTTAAGACTAGGAGATGGGCTACAATTTTAGTTATTTTGAGAATTTGAAATATTCCAAGTTTCATTAATAAGTAATTGAAAATTTCTAGCAAAAAATAAGTTTTCTTTAGCCTATCAGAAGTTTATATTTTATGTAACAAGTATGGAACTCATCATATCATCATCAATAAATATTCAAAACTCAAAGGTGGTTTACGTGATTTTCGTAAAAAGTTGAATCTTTTAAATGTTGCCGAAATTCGAATAGTTTGTGGCTAAGATCTCCATATTTGACCATTTCATCATAAGTTTGTAGAACTTAGATGCAAGCCTTGAGAAACTAACAATTAAGGTTTGAAAAATGGTTATTAGATGGTTAAAAATTGGTATAAAAATGAAAATTTACGTGTCAAGACTTCACCCCTACAAACTTATAAAGTTTATCCGGCGTGAAGAACTTTCTAAAATACGCAATACTATCTTGAAATGATAATTTCATAATATTATTGTATCCTCTAGCAATATGTAATTACCAATGCTAGGAAGTGGCTTAATTACTGCGATCTCTGAGAATTGGGTCATTCGCCAGCACCTGAAAGGGTTCACAAAGGGCTTACTTTACTATATAACTTTGTTGCAATATCGATTGTCAATTTATTAATGAACTAAACAGGCCTATGGCCTTTCGCTGCACCACATACGTTTAAGTTGTCAGCTGCTTCTAATTAAATATTATTCCAAAGTTTATTGGATTGGCTTTGACAATGTTTTTGCTTGGCATTTTTCCAGCAGCTGCCTTAACGATGCAACGATGTGACAGGCGGCAGCAGCAGCAGCAGCCAAAGTGCCAGGAGCAACATCAGCGGGAAAACCAGCTGCAGCATCGAAACTTGCACCGGGAACAGCAATAGTCCAGGCCTAAAATTATACACAGAACAATTGAAATGACTAAGATTTAAAGTTTAGCAACAGCAGCTTATTAACGGGCAGCTAATGTCACATTTTTAAATATTTAAATTAAAGTCGATGTAATGTAATCTTCTATCAGCGAGGACAGCAACCGTTCGAAAGTGTACAGCCGATACCCGAACCGCTCAGCACAAACATTTCGAAAAGGGCAGCGGCAATAACAAAAACCACCACAGTAATTAAGGCAGACAGCGATTAGACTAATACAATTTTAAGATAAAGAAGGAAAAATCAAAACTTCTAAACGCAAAAGGTGAAAAAAGGAGTTTTCGAATTGAGCGAAGACAGCAACCAAGCGGTGAAGTCAGCGGATACACCAACATATTAAGCTTCTGGCGACTGAAGAGGTGTCCCAAGGAGTAGCTTAAAGAACAGGCTGAGGAGAGCGACAGACTGAAACGAAGTCAACAGGAGGAGGATCAGGAAGAGAGGGATAATGCCCAGCACGGCGGGCAGTGCAGCGGGCGTTGGGATGGGAGCTCTAATCAATAATGCCGGCAGTAGCGCCAGCAGTGTCATGGGCATCGGCCTGGGAAGAGCAGCTGCCACGGGAGCAGGAGCTGGGGCACCAGGGGCAGCTAGTGCTGGAGCAGAGGCTTCTGCTGGCACTCTAATTGCCCAGAGCACGGCAGGAACGAGCGCGGCCAGCAGCGGTACGATCACCTGGGACAATAATGGAACCCTGCGATCGATCAATCCCGGCGACTGGTCCATCGAACAGTGCCTCGGACCACATCACCTGTACTTTCAGCTCGGCTGGGCCTTCCTCTTCCTGGCTTTTTTGGCCCCCCATGGTCCCTACGGAGCCCTGTGGATGCGGGCCATGCTGCTCATTGGCTGCCTAATGATGGGCATGCACGGCTATCTGGTGGCCTGTGCACCGGATGTGGTCTTGTGGTCCGGCATGGGACTCTTCGTCAACTTCATCTATCTCGTCGTGGTGCTATGCCGGCTGAGGCCCGTCAGATTCGAGCAGGAAATCGAGGCGGTAAGTGAACTATTGAAGATTATCCATTTAACTGCCACATATTTCTTCCTTAAATATCAAATAAAAGCTTTTAAGTATTTTCTTATAGGGTTGGTAAGCACGCCTTTTAGTTACGATTAAATGAATGAAATTTAAATTACCTTCTGTAGTTCATAAGTATCCTTTCGAAAAGTACTTTTGTTAGTTTATTTAGTTTTCATAACTCAAGAAACATCAAGTACAAACTAAAACTAGAAGTGGCGTAGGCTTAAAATTAGCAACAAAAAAGATCTTAACAGAAAGTTAAAGTACACGTAGATCGACGACTTCTATAAGCTTAAACAAGTTAGAAATCTATATTCAAAGGCGTTGACTGTCAGTATACCAATTACTCTATTAATCAATTTCAAAATTAATCTTTTGTTTGATCTATATAATTAATGAATTAACTGACTGTGACCATTCTGCCCATGTGAGGTCTTATAAACATAGCAGTGGGCGTGGGCTGGTAGATGCTTGTAGAATAAGCTTGAATTACCCCAACTTTCTATATAGTTCCTTCGTATAGTTACTGAGATCTCAGCGTTCTTTCGGAAAGATAGACGAACGTGTCTATTGTAGGCAATTAAAAATAAAACTAACCTATAGGGTCGGATATATTATACGCGTAAGGAGTATAAACACTAAAAGTTCTTAAGAACGAATTAAACTGTGAAACTTGGGTAATACTTCACCCAAGTCTCAAACTAAGTTGAATCCCTAAAATCGAATTTTGATTAAACTCTGAAAAGCAGCTTTAAACAAAATGCTAAGACATAAGAATATATGTATGATAAAATGAAATGGTTTTCAATATTTTATAATAATAAATAAAAACTTTCCCTCTTCTCTAAAATGCAATGCACTTTATGTTAGATCAATCAGCCGAAAAGTAGGCAACTCAACTAAAAACAAAAAGGAAAATTGATTTCCCAACCCCAAGTGTTTCCCGTACAAGAAAAACAATCATTTGAATTGTACACATTGACTTTGTTTGGATATTTTATTAATTGATTTTTTTTTGTTTTTTGGTTTTTTTTTTACTATTTTGGTTTTTTGTTTTGATTTGTTTTGTTTTTTTGTTTTGTTTTGTTTTGTTTTTATATAAATTATATTCACTAAAATATCCGCGCTTAAATCGAGAAAAACATAGTTTTCGATGGATTAATAAATAACAGAAGAAAATTAATGATTCACTTGCTCTCGCTCGAGAAAAAAAAGTATAAGTATAATTATCAATAGGCTATTAATTAATAACTCCGTGTAAATTATTGGCTATCGACTATGGGCTAAATGTGCTGTGCTCTGCGGGTGGGTCTTTGGGTGGTGGGTGTTGGTTTCGGTGCTGTGGTATTGTGGAAGGCGGGCTGAGTTTATCACAGGAAATCAGATTGGAAGGTTGCCGAAAACAAGGCGTCCTGGGGAGAAATTAAATATTTTCGTGCGTTGGTGTGCGGTGCGGAGAGGGCGGAGGGTGGGAGGGCATTCAAAAGATCAATGTTTCAATAGCAATTAAAAATTTGAGACAGTTATCGAACATTGAAATAGAGAAGTGATGATGCATGTAGTATGTGGCGTGGAATCCTAATCTATAAATTCTTCACTCCGGCTGTGCCTTAGCTGAGGCGTATTTTCGATGCCAGAAAATACAGCTGCAGGCAGGTGGTCAGCATGACCGTCATGTTGCCAATGGCGATGGTCATGTGGATGCGCCGGAAGCCCTTGTGGATGCGCTGGTAGTGCGGACAGTCGACGAGGTCGCCCTGGACAAGGCTGCCCACCTCCTGGCCACTGCCGATCGCGTCCTCAATCCTGTACTTCTCGTGCATCAGCTGCAGCATCGGTGGCACCAGATACAGACGCACCACCACCTCAATGGCAGCCGCCAGCGCCAGCGAACCCATCTGGATGCCAGCCGCTGTAGTCCAGCCAGTAAGGAAATACTTGGCATACACCACCAGCATCGTCAGACTGAGCATGGCGTTCAGGGCGAAGTAGCGCGGGAACAGGATCTGCTGGCACTGCCCAAAAATGTGACGGGGCAGGGAGAAATACAGCGAGAGACCTGAAAGGATATAGAAAAAGGGGATTGGTTAGAAATCAGGTTGGCTTTTAGGGGAGCTTTAAAAATGTAATTACGATTTTTGGATGGCTGGCCCAAATGAATCGAGTTTGATGAATGGTTTGATCATTGATCATTGATCTTAGTAGTGATCGTTGAGTAATCTACGTAGGTTCATAGTCTTCTTTTTGGAGATTGAAATATATGAGAACAGATGATCTGTAGCTATAATTTGTAGAAATGGAATTGATACTATTGATTGAAATCCGGATGCTGGGATCGGACTTTAAGTCCATGAATTGAAGAAAATTGGATCTGTACAGATCATTTCTTTATGTTCCTGAATGATAATGAAGCTCCTTTCTGAAAGATCATTTCTAGCTTTCTTTTCAAGCTTTGCTTTTAGAATAATGGATGTTCATGCTGATTCCCTGAAGATCATGTTAGTCCTGCGTCCTAAAGACACTTACCCGAGACAAATGTCATCCAGATCTGCGACCCAAAGTGGGTGGCAAAGGCGCCTAGAAATACCAGGGCCGCCAAAACGCCACCCGTTGCTGTTCTCGTCGTTGTTGCAGCGGTTTCTGTTGCTGCTGCGGTTTCTGTTGCTACTGTTGTCGTTGGGTCGATGAGGTCGCGTCCCACAGTCATCAGCACAAAGGCCAATATGCAAACGGCTATCAAGTGTGCTGGTTGTGTTGTACGCGTCAGAATTCTGCAAAAAGATAACAAAGTTATCGATAAGTAAATGGCAATCGACAATAAAAATTAGTAAATTGAAACTGAATAGAAGGGGTTTCGCCTCAAAATGACTTATAGAAGTTCTATAATTTTTATGGAAAACCAAGAAAAGTTTACAAAAAATGGTACTTCTTAAGTTATCGGATTTATCATCATTGCATATCGATTATTATTGTAGATATTATTAAAAGATTTCTAGAGCTATTAAATAAGTTAAGTGACTTAACAGTTATGGGACTGCCAGCGACCTATTTATAAAACCGAAACCAGTCTGAAGTCCCTACAATCATTGCTTCTTGGGTTCAAGTGCAAATATAACAGTTTCTGTCATATCCTTCTAGGTAATTAACCAACGCAATAGCATTGCAATCGGTAATGGTTCAAACTCCAAACTTCAAGAAATTATAGCCAACCGATTTGCGGGAAACGACGCGCTATAGGCATCGGTAAATGGGTATTACGTACACACGTGCCCCTCATGTCTGATTAGATTTGATTCGCAGCGAACTTTTGCACCGATAGCGATCGTGCGAATTCGCCGTTTCCCCCTCTCACTCTCTCGTCGTCTCTTTGCTTCTGTGCCTACGCATTTGTTGCCTCTCCGGCTCGTCGCCTCTTTCGTCTGTCATTTTTGCATATCCGTCTGTTACGTTTTTTATGTCTTTTTTGCACACTTTTCGTCGCTCGCCTTTTGTTTTTGTTGTCGTGCGGCGAATAGAGCCAAAGTGGCGTACGTGCGAAAACGCATGCAACCGAATATTGTATATTTTCGCCGCCCCCCCACCATAACCCTCTTCGTTGCTCTCGTGGAGACCAGAACTAAATGCCAGAAATTGGCAATCTCTAAGCGGTATTCATAGCATGAGAGCGTGGATAATGCAGTTCTGGGCTTGCACTTGGGGCGAATTCGGGCGAATCAGCTGGCGGCCAGCTGATAAAACGATAAAACGCGGCGAACCCAGCTGATTTATGGGAAAAAGAGAGAGGCGCGATAAAAGGCTAGGAAGTACACTTGCGTTCAAATTAATAATGACCTAATAATTGACCTAAATAATAGAAATCAATATTTTTAGCTTCTCGAAATCGAAGGACGACATTTGGAATTGTAAAAAAATATTTATAATTAAATGAACAAGAAATACTTACATAAAAATATTATTGTTATTAATGAAAATTATAATTTTTACTCAACTTTTCCTTTCCCAATACAAATTAAATTATTTTATATAAACATTTGTTCTTCGTATGCTACGTTTTTGTCCTCGACTGTACGCCTGAGAAAGCTCTGCCAGATGACGTAGGGTCCCGATCGCACTTTGCACTCCAGCAGGTGGTTGTGGATCGGTCGACAGAGAGAGAGAGAGAGAGAGAGAGAGGGAGAGCGAGACGACGAGGCGGAGAGAGCGGGTGATTCAAGGGGTCTTAGGGAACTCTGTTGACTTGCCAATTGTCGTCATAACATTGATCGATAGATAACGACCGCACCGAGACACACTCCGCTCCCCCCCGAGGGTTAACTTATCGCTTGACATTGAGTCAGCATTACGGTCAAGGTGGCTATCACTTGTTCATATTTTTAGATTCGCACACTTATCGCCAGTAATGCTGACCCAAAGACCAAGATCCTCGTGAATCATTTGAAAATGTTAGAGCTAGGTCAATGGGGGTTCCTCTATAAGTTATAGATAATCGACTGCGGAATGTCTATTTCTGTTTCTATGGGACACCACTGTACCGATCGATATCGTGCGGATCACGAGTTTGGCGTCTGCTGCCAGGCATTATCAATGGGGTGCTAACAATCTTTTTAATGGGCTTCGTTGAATTTCGCTATCTGGTCAACAAATTACCAAAGATAGCTAAAAAATATAGTCTAAGTAAACATGCTGCAAATCAATCAAGAACCTGCGACATATGAGTTCTATAATTAAATTCAAACTGGCAATAAAGAGAATAGAGAACCATCTTCTTCCTCGCCTGCTAAAGTCCTTTTGGCTAGTCTAGTCTATATATAAAAATAGAGCTAAGTGTGTCTGGAAAGTCTTCGGTTCGCTGTTTGCATAACGGTTTTGCGCCCTAGACAACGGACGGTGGAAAATCAAGTGACTATATTTGCATTTATAAATATCAATACAGAGGCGTGATCAACATGATCCGCAGCCGTGACAATGAACTGATAAGGACTGATAATGCCACCAGCATTGCGGGCTTCCCTTATGTCACCTGATGAATTTATGACTGTTTTGTAGAGGGGGCGTGTTAAGAATGTTTCCTATGATCACGAATAATTATAGATTAGTTTGAAGTTAAATATATATTAAATTGTCTTTTTTTAACCACTCATATATACTGCACTTACACCTCTGGCTGATCTTAGTATTAATACTAGTTGGCATTTAGCAATACAAAATATTTGTAATCTGCGGGGTGGGACTGCCCGAAATTAATTGGTTTTGCCACATTTTTTGTAGGCAAAAATAATTAAATAGCTCAGCGTTTCCTGTCATTTTTGCATGCCATAAACTGACTTATTGGAGGCCTTAAAGGTCGAACAACTAATAATTATACATTTTTTATTCAGTATTTGTTTTTAATAATAAATATTCCATTTCCCTTTAAATTTAAGGAAACAACAAAGGGAATTTCTTGGTAAATTACAAAGAATTTCTAACAACTTTTATAGGAATAGATGATATGGAGTATTAATAGGAAAAAATGCATTAAAATTATTACAATTCATAATAAAAGTAGTATAGATCTAGATCTTACAAAGATCCAAAGATATATCTTGAAATTTTAAAAGCTGTTTATAAGTCAATTCTAAGGTTACCCATTACGAGTACAATTTAGTTTTTGAAAGAGACTCACGTGTAAATGCGACTGGCCTGCAGCTGGGCCACCAGGCAGGTAATTCGCTCGGACACCTGTCGCGTCATCTGGGTGCCGATGGCCAGGGCGTCGTCCATTGACGGCTCCATCGAGCTCAGTTTGCGCTGCTGCTGAGCCTTCAAAGCAGCGGCGCTTACGGCCAAGGGTTCATCCTCCTGCAGTTCCATCTCCTTGAGCATTTGCTGCTGCTGCTCTTGTTGGAGCCTGCGAAAATGTGGGCAGAATCGCAGGAGGTCACTTCTGGGTGTTTGGGAGGTGGGAGAGGAGGTGCTGGTCATAGGAGTGGTCTCAACCGCTGTTGGGGATTTCATAAGGGTTTCGGTAACGCCGCTATCCTCGCTATCGCTACCAGTGATCGAGGAGGAATCACTGTTGCTGCTGCTGCTGCTCAGTTCGAGATCCTCGAGGAACTGCTGTTCCCTGTGCAGATCCTGCTGCTCCCTCCTCAGCTTCTCCTTCCTCTCGCGCTTCTTCAGGGTGTACTTGACACTCTTCACCGCCTTCGATGGCATTCCACAGGCCATATAGCGTTCGATCTGCTGCTCGTTGTTTTTCTCCACGATCCCTGAATTGTGGCACATCTTTGCATTGGTTTCTTTAGCTCCTTTTCCAAATGGTAATCCTCTCTTGTTGCTCTTTGATTTCTTTTTTTTTTTTTTGGCACTCTTCTTTGTCTCGATTCGCACAGCAAAAAAAAACTTTTTTTTGGGGTTACTTAACTTTCCGTTTAACGATATTATTTTGGATTTAGGGATTTTTCCACACCGCGTTTTTTGTGTTTTGATTCAGATTTTGATTTTGATCTGGGGCTGGGTTAATTTTTCTGGGGTGGTTATGTTTAGTCTGGATTCCGGGGGGACTAAGAGCGACACGCGGCGCGTTAAGGTGTGCGATTTTGAATGGGAAGTCGGCGCTGCCATTAGGTTTTATATATACCGCCGACAACGCCAGTTCTTGCGCCAACGTCGCTGTTCGCTCTGCTTCCGCTCTCTTTTGCTTTGGTCTCGGAGAACGCTCCACTCTCTCTCTCTCTGCTCTTCGGGATCCCCTTTTGCACTCGGATCGAAGCACATCGGATGAAATCGGCGAAGCTGATGCAACAGTGGGCCCAATTGCGTTGCGGGCTGCCCAGTAATCTAGTTCACCATGATCGCGTTCTTTCTTATCCGCAAAGTGCATATTTCTGTCTACGAATTTAGGGCTGTCAATAAAAGCAGATGATTAAACAGCTAGTCTTCCATTTAAATCAATCACTCGTTTAAGTATTAATCATAGTTTAGGGATAGATATACCCTCTTGTTTAACTCTGGAAAGGCTACGTTTCGTTTAAAAGGGAATCAAGTAACTGCCTTAAATGGAAATTGCCTTCAGCTTCATTTAATTATACTTTTTAAACAGTTCAAAAGTAGAATTTGCAAAGCAAAACAACAAGATAAGATTAATCGAGTGAATTATTATTGTGAGATAATTTTAAATCAAACAAACAAATGGATTTATTTCAAGTTTCCTTTCCTCTTTGCACTTTTTAATTTTTCTTTAACTTCAAAACTTGCGTGGCCCCGACTTGAGCTCACATTGCGCACCACAAGCTCAGCACCAAGCCCACTGTGCGATGCATTTAACGGGGAACATCCCCGAAGAGCGGGTAAGAGTGAGAGGTTAGGGATTGGGAGGCTGGGCTTTCACAGGCTGTCTCTTAAATCCTAGGCCCATTCAGTTATTTAAGAGAACCGCCGCCTTATCACCACAAAGTCTCAATTAACGGCGGCTGTCACGCTGCGATCGTTTGGCAATATGCCGCCGTATAAGCACCTGACAAATGGACGCCACATGTGAATAGTTTTCGGCCCAACCTTCAGCCGGCCCTTCCTCCTCTCTTCTCTATTCTTCCTCCTCCTGTTTCTCTCTCTTTTTGTCGCCAAAAACTTTCCTACAATGTTGCGGCGAAAAACAAATTTTGAAATTGAGTGAGAAATGCACATGGAGTAAATTCCTTCGACGTCACCATCGATCGAGCAATCCCCGGTCCGTATATGTATTTCCTTGGATCCACCAATTCTGGTTTACCAAGCGTGAGTCGTCCGTCTTAAATTCGGCGAATGGATTCCGATTCCGATCACTGACGTCGACTGGCTCGTTCTTTTCTCGATTCGGAGAAACTCTCCAACGGATATTTGATATGTGATTGGGAAAAATCTGAATATCTATTCAGAAGGGGAAGAACTTCTAAGAGGGCCAATCAATCTGTGTTTTAGTACTACTAATAATCAATCATATATGTATGTATATACAGAACTAATCATTCCGAAACCTTTCAATACTGATATAAGTTTATTACTAGAGGAAAGGCACCCCACACCGAAGACTAATTGAAAAAAAGAACAAAAATAGAATTGATAGGAAATGCAAATGATAAGGATTGCGAGACTGAATCACCTGGTGATTCAGTGGGCTCGTCGAGGATCTGTGACAGTGACCAGATCAGTTCAAAGTCCCGCCAGAAACTGACCATTTCTTGCTACCTTACGAATCTTTCACCCACATAATGCGCAAAAAATGAAAACTCTGGCGAACGTGCTGGCGAAAAATAGAATAAACAAACTGATTAGTTGATTAAAGGTCAGTTTTTTTAATCTGGGACCGACCGCGCAAAGGCTAATCATGGCCAATCAACATTATCCACCCGATCCACCCCATTGCCCTGCGATATATCCGTAGCAGTGCCACCGATTCTTGAGAGCCACCGTGAGTGGGCAAGAATTCCCGACCAATGTCACGATGTCCAGCCAAATTGGGTGACCAAAAGCGGAATTAATGACATTATTTGTATGCAACATTTGGAGGCGATCGGCCAAAAACGATCGTCTCGATCGGAGGAGAGATCTACGTCCGGGCGTAGGTAACGCAGCAGAACGAAATGGCTGGGAATATGGAAGGGATTGTGGAACCGCAATTAGATAATGAGCAGTTTGTGGGCAGCCATCGATCGGCCAGGAATCGTATATAGAAAGTACTCTCCATGTACATCTTATCGGTTCGAGGAGATCCCCTTGTCATGTGGCGCACGTTCAACGAGTTGGCGGCCCCAAAAACAAGAAAAAAAAAAACAATATTAATGAATGAATCTTGAAATCGAAAAATCTGCAAATGGCAATCAATCGATCAATCAGTCAGTCGAACAAATGCAACGATCGATAAACAGGGGGGGGAGGAGTTACAGAGCTCAAAGGTTGCTAGGCAGGAATGTGGCAACGGATGATTAGTCTGTACTTCCAGTTAAAAATTAATCACTTTGAAAAGCCTAAAAACTAAAATCGTTACTTAAAAAGCCTATAATCTAAATTCCTAACAAATCCCCAAATAGATATATCAATTTGATGATAACTTTTTTTTTAAGTTTTTCGAAATAAATCATTCAGGAAATTGGTTAGTTATAGGTAGTATATGGTTAGCAGATTATATAACGATTAAGTATAGCTATTCGTAGGATGTCGACATTAATAACATTATAAATTATCTGCTTACACGTGGCAGAGAGTACTATAAATAATACAAAGTAGGATTTATCGATTTTCGGCAGTAAATTAATTACAAATAATTGTTTTCACCAGAAGGCCGAAGATGGCTAATGAAATAGGTTAAAAGGAAATGGTCATATTTATACCATGATTTGTGTCAAGTTAATGCGGATTCAAAGAGTGTTAAGCTATTAGTTAAGTTGAGATTTCAATTTAAATAATATTAAAAATATGCAAAATCTGTTTTATGGCAAAATCTGGCATGGTTTTGCATTTTTCGAAGATCGTGCAGACTCATCCACCTGGCTTTTGACTATTTGGACTTTGTGGCTATCATCTTGGCATTCGATTAGTTTTTATATTTATAGTTCCTCTTGGTTTGTTGTTGGCTTTTTCATTTTGATACGTGGGCCAAGTCGGGTTTCTTGTTTCTTCGGTGACTCGGTGGCGAATTCCGATTCATTTTGCCTCAAATGCGGACGTGCCGGCCGGTTTTCGCGTCATATAGGCCAAAAGATGGGAAATTTCAGGGGTGGTAGGGGGAACTCAATAGATTAGGGGGGACACTCGGTGATGTTGTTTTCCCTTGGCACCTGACGCACACCAAACATTTTTTGAAGAGAGCTGATGAAAGATGTCTGCGTCAGCATCAGCTGCCGATTGTGGCGTTGATCCAATAAGAAGAGGGGTGTGAGAGGGGGGTTGGGGTATATTTCCACAATACCCGACCACCCTTTTCCGCCCCTCGGGAACCACCCCTTTTTCCACACCCACCCACGCGCCTTCACTCAATCATTGTCCGAATTGCGGCGTAATCCCTTCGTGGGGAAAACAAAAAAGCAGCGGCCCACGTGAGCGGTCTAAGTGGATCCAGATATATGGGTCTATGGGTTGTCAATTGGTTGCAGACACGCCCATCGCCTGCTTTTGGGGCGTCATATGAGTCATCTAAATCACCTGGAAACCGAAGCGTAGATTACTGACAACTCAATTAGCGCCGAAAGTTACGAAAAATATGAAATCAGTTTGCAAGGCAGCCGAAATTGTACAAATATTTGCCAGTAACAAAAAATGTCTAGAAAGTCCTTGAAAGTTTTTGTTTTTCTTTAAATAAAATTGGATTTATAAATAGATAAAGTTATGGGAACATAACTTGGAAACAAAGGTGTAGATATTTACATTCATGATCTTAGGGGGGTCTCTTTACAATATTATTTTGTAACTTAAAGTCTGTAAAGTTTTAGAGATTGAGTGTCATGTCCAAGCAAAGTTAAAAACATTTTATGATTAAAAGAAAGCTCCAAAGCTCTCAAAAGGGTAATAACATTTCAATAACAAGTGAAAATGCCCAATTTTGGTATTTCACCATGAGTTCGACTGTTCTGCGGGTTTTTGGCTTGATAAGCGGCTGCAAAGAGGGCTGGAAAAGTTCGAGAGAGCGAGAAAACTCCGCTGCATTTGAACTTCTGTTATCAGCGGCAGTTAGTTAGTTGTTGACGACAGTCGATTTTGTTTACAAGTCAATCATATTGTTCGCACAACGCCGTCGTGTGCAGCGATCGACATTTATTTGTATTTACTTGTTTTTTTTTTTTTTTTGTTTCTTCTTTTCACGGCCCACTGTTGCCGACTGGCCGCCGCTGCTCTGTGCGACTCTCTTAGAAACAAAGAGAGCACCTCTCTTCGAACTGCTTATCACAGCAGCGAAAGCAGCAGCAGGTTCAATGGCTCTTGAATGTGCCTTTTCGCAGCGATCTTGTCTGCTCTCCCTATGATCTACATACACGCGTATTTGGGCAGGTCAGTTAGGAGCAAACAAGAAGCGGAAAAGCACATAAAACAGAGCTGAGCTAATAAAAATGGGGAAATAATTAAGCCCGATCGGCGATAATTGAGGCGCATAAGTGGGGATCGATCGGATCGCCATCTGTGGCATGCACCAGGAGAATTCTTTGCAGTTGATCAGTTGCCATGGCACAGAATGCTCTTGGGAGTGATCTTTGACTGGGTGGCCAGATTAAGGCAATCAGTTAGAAAAATTCCACAAGAATTCCTCTGGTCAGTCTGGGCAAAAATAAAAAATATGAATATATTAATAGTAAGGAATTATTTAACAAGGAATATTATTTAAAAATATTACAATATTATTTAACTTACTTAAGCTATAATTACTTGATTAATTCTTGTTAAACTTAACGCTTAAGTGCTTATATTATTTTTTTAAGGACTTAAAGTATTTAATTTAAATTGGCTTTGATCTTGTATTTGGCCATAACTCATAATAACGACGTCGACAAAGATTTATTTCACTTTAAAAGGTATCCCTGAAATTTATTCATGACTTTAAGCCCAGTTAACTCCTCTTTTGGCCATCACATTGTTGCATTTTCCCATCAAAAAATGAGATCAGAGATTGGCCAAAGTAGGGTAGAGCATTATCTCTGGCCGACGATCGTTCGCAAATTGCTCTGTTTCGGTTTTAAAATATATATATACTCGGGTATATATATACTTTTTTGGAATTCTTTCGCTTTCATTGATTTCAATTTGCAAATTGCGGGCGGCTCAACGGAATTGAGCTTTGTTTCCCACAGCAAAGGAATAACGACCCCATCCCCGTTCCGAGTTCCCGGGTTCCCATTTCGATGGCAGTCCATCATGTATGCCAGTTTGAGTCCGTTCAGCCGGCAGTTCATCATCATCTAGAGGCCGCTAATCTGTCGCATCTGTAACTGTACACTGAAAGTAATTACGAGCCTGTTTTATGATGGATTTACAATATGATGATTGATCGATTTGATTCGATAGTAATATTATCTATAAATCACTTATATATTCAATATAAAGTTTTCAGTTGGAAAATTCAAAAAAATTATATATCATAGAAGCTGCAATGTTAAGCTTTCTCAAAAACATATTTTTAATATTTACTAAAGTATTTAATTTCTGTTTTAACCTCATCTTTTGGGAATACATCACATCATTCAAATATTGTCCAAAAGTTAGGTCGAAATTTGTACTTTCTTTCTGTACTTTCTTGTACGATCGACTTCGAGTTTTAATAATTATTAACTCTCTGTCCAACAGATTATTCTGACCTGATTTCCTCTTAGTTAATTAGGATATTTTCTTGCCGTGTACTCGTATCTGTGACTGCGACTCTTTCTTCTCACTGGCTGTGGATTTTGTTTTCATTTTTTATGCTTTTTTTTTGTGGCTCTCTGAGCTGCAGTTGGTGGCTCAGTGGGTTTAGTGGTTCGGTGTCTCGGTGGCTCTATAGCTCTGTGGAGAGTGGCCTACGTGACTCGGGAATCCGCGGCAATGTCCGACGACCGACTGGCGACCGGCGACTGTTGCAAATCGAAACGATTCGCTGGATCCGCTGGATCCGCCACCAAAACCTGCCCCGGATCACAATTTGTCCGCGCCGCCCGGGCAAACCTCTTGATTATGTTATTTATTTATTTAGCCATGCTCGTTAATGTTTAATGTTACTGCCGCGCGTCGTCTCAGCAACAATATACGATATATATATATATGATTCAAAATCCCGTCGAAACCAAACCCCAATCGGCCTGATATGAAAGTCCTTTGTCTTAAGTCGACCAGGCAACACTCTGAATGAAAATGTTATTAAAATTAGTATTCCGGTTCAAAATTTTACAAGTTCGATGACATCTTCGCAAAAGGCAGAAGAAAGCTTTAAAGAAAGAAACCTTTTGGAGCTACAAATCGGATTAAATAGCTTAAAGTTTGTTAGCAAAAATCGATTTTTTCGATTTAAAGAAGGTAACTTTATTCATTTTCATAACTTAACTTGGTAAAATTTCAAAAACTTATCAACTAAAATGTTAGAGATGACTTTAACCTTTGCCATGACATGGATTTTTACTTCTTCTAATTGTTAACTTTTCAGAATATTTTTTCCATTTAAGAAATTAAAAGCTTTCGCCTGAAAAAAGGAAACTAAGATTTGTCCTACAACCTTTTCCTTTCAATAAACTTATGGATGACTTTTTGGCAGATACTTTATGGATACATAATAAAAACTGCTTTCCCATTAAGTTATAAATCTTTTCATTACTTAAGCCGTCACAAAGCCAATATATATATGATGTATGATTCTCAGTGCTGTTTGAATTTCAAAACTTGTATACCTCAAAACTAGAGTAGCGGAAAATTGAAAACTGCTGTCGTTTCATGTTGCTCGATGCAATGCGATAACCTCCGATGTTGCTGCTGTTGGTGTTGGTGTTGCTGTTGTAGGTGTTGCTGCTGCTGCAGTAGCAATATTGCCCCGATCTATAGACGACCCCCTGGGGCAGAAGCAGGGACGCGGGGCTACTGCTGGGGACACGTTGGCCTGTCTAACGGCTGCGTCAGCAAAACACACAGCACTTTTCGGCATGGCAACAGCTTTGCCTTGCCGTGTGGCTGTTGCTACCACGAGTCTTACATTTTGGCCATGTGATCGGCGTCTTGGCTTTTTGGCTCTCGAGGGGGTGGGGCATGGGTAGGGTGGCCTCCCCAAAAAAAAACTGGTCGCAGCTAAAGCTCATCAACGCCTACGTTATGCGAAGACATGGAAAAAATCTGCTTAATTTTTTAAGTTTTCAAACATGAAAGCTAACTAACTAATTAAACTTATTAAAGTATAAATTTAACATAAATTATTTAGCATAAACTTAAAGCTTGCCTAGTCCTTTCCATAAATATGATGTATTCTTAATAAAGATAACCTTTTGGACCTTCTAAGGTGACTTCTCTCAGTGTAGCCTCAATGAAATAGGAACAGGTAAACAGGTGGGAAAAGGGGGCGTGCTCTTGTTATACTTGACTCAATGCAAAGCAGTTAACACTCTTGATCAGCAATAATATTTGCTTTTTTTTTAGTTGTTTATTTGTCTGTTTGCCTGTTTGGTTTTCGTGTTAAGTGTTACATCTACTTGGCAACAGAGAATGCTTAGAGATTGAACTCAGCGGGAGATTTTTGGCCAAGAATCTTGGGAGTTTCCGTTACTCTGATGTATCGTTTATTTGCTTAGTTTCTTTGTTAGTTTTTTTTGGCCAAGAGACATAAACTTGGTACTTGATGTGTCTATCAAGGGGAAAGCAATGTTATAAATTCAATGAATGGTGGAAGTTTTCTAGGGAGGGAGAACTTCTGGAGTGCTGTTAGTTTTAGGAAAATGAAAATTGTTACATAGAAGCTGACTTATCAGGGAAAGCTTCCTTTTCCGGTTAGGATCTCAGTGTGTGTTGGGGCACCTAATAATTTAAAGACATTAAATGATTAATCAAAAAACAATCTATCAGTTTAGTAAGTTTAAAAGTAAATAAGCAAAATAAAGAGCTACTTCCGTTAAATGGGCTGACAAACAAAAAGCCAATAAATATATTTAATTGATCCTGAAGCTGTCGCAATAATCATTAACTTTATTGATCACATTTTGCAGGTGTATCTGGCACTTTTCCAGCCGCTGCACGTGACTCGCCACCAGTTCAAGAAGGTGCTCAACTGCATGAAGGTGATACGTGCATTGAAGTACCAGGAGGTCTATGCCCAGGAGAAGGTCACCAAGGTCGACAGCCTGTCGCTGGTGTTGAGTGGCAAGTGAGTACAAAGATGCCACCACTTCCTCCATTGGAATGACTAATTTCCATGCTAATTGGTCCACAGGTTGGTGGTGTCGCAGCATCAGCGAGCCCTGCACATTGTGTTTCCCCATCAGTTCCTAGACTCGCCGGAATGGTTTGGCGTCTCGACCGATGACTACTTTCAGGTGGGTGTCCCCCCATCCTTCACTCGATCATCATCAATATTAAGATTGACTCTTTTGACAGGTCTCCATCATGGCCATGGAGGAGTCGCGGGTGCTGATCTGGCACCGCGACAAGCTCAAACTGTCAATTATGGCCGAGCCTTTCTTGCAGACCGTCTTCGATCACATTCTCGGTCGGGATGTGGTCAAGAAGCTGATGCAGGTCACCCAGGTTGGTTCAGTTTTCTAAACCTTAAAGTTAAAACAAATCTAAGAAACCTATTTTAGTTAGTAATCATGAACTTAACTCTCTCTATAATCAATATACCATAACTTTCGATTCCAGGTGAGCGAATCGATAGCCAGCAATGGCTTCCTGCCTTCGGGAGGATATGCGGAGGATGCGGAGGACAAGCCCATGTTGATACTCAAGAAGAGTGTGGACGTGGGCCACGGACTGACGGCCCTGATCAACCGGCAGCTACAGGGTGAGTGAGACTTCCGCGACCCTTAAACTGTTCCCCTCTCTCTCTCTCTCCGTTATCTATTGACTGTCTACCTAGTCATGTACAGCGGCGGTTAACAAAATAGTAGCGACTGCAAAAAATTTAACAAGCCAAGCACTAACTTTTATTGTAATCTTTTGTTTAAAATTAACCAATTAATTTGTATTTATTAATTATAAAAATAAAAAAAATGTTTTTTTTTTAATTTTAGTTTTTAACATTTTTATCATTAAATTCTCATAGTAACTGTTATTTATTCTGCAATATAAATAAAAGCAAATATTTTACAAGCACATTACGCACTTTCTCTTCATAAATTTAAAAGCACTTAATATTAACAGTTAAGTTTGTGTAAATAAAAAATAAAAATCGCTTAAAAAACAAAACAAGTGACTTCGGGATTTTTTAAAAATATTTTATTCATAAATATTCTTAAAACGTAAAAAATCGCTACTATTACTATGACCGCCGCTGTACTAGGCTCTCCCCACGCTTTCATTAACTTTCTTGGTGTTTGGGGTTCTTGATTTCTTCACCTTCGTCCTTTGTGTGCCTCTCTTCCCCTTCCTTGTCTCTCTCTCTCTCTATATCTCTGTCTCTCTCTGTTTGCACGCTTTCTGCATGGCCAAAGATCCTAACCTCACATGAATTAAACCCGTAATATAGTTTAATTTATGATTTGTTTCTTACTCTTTCGTTGTTGTTTTATATTTTTGATGTATTTTCTGTGCATTTTTGATTTTTGGTTTCGTTTTGTTTTTTACTTTTCTACGCCAAAACTCTAATTTTAGAAGAGCATGTTCCTTTACTTGGTCGCACGTACAAACAACAACAACAACAACAACTACTACTACTGCAACAACATCAACAACAACAACAACTCGTACAAGAAGCTACAACAACAACAACAAGCGCCAACAACATCGAGCAAAGTGCAATCTGAAATTATGCAACCGCCTCGCCGCTGCTCAACTTGCCACGAACCGAATTCAGAGCACTCCTCCGCCCCTTCACCTTTGACCCTGCACAACAACAACAACAACAATAATAAGAACAACAAGAACAACACCATCACCACCCACACAAGCAAACAATCATCAATCATCGGTCAGCTATCAGCTATCAATCACAAGCAGCAACAACAGCAACATCGCGATCACCAGAAAAGAGCTGTCGAAAAAATCTGGAAGCTATCCATCTAAAACCGCATCTTGAATCCCACATATAATCATCTCATATCTAGTATTTAGTATAGTAACTAGCACTAGCTAAACAAACATCTAACACATCTAATCGTTCTATTAGCCAACTTTGTATCCATCAGCCAGTCACTTGATTTTTAATGTAAACTTTTTGTCTTGGGAAACATAAACTTTCCATGCCAGCGGAAAAGGCAGGGTTGACAGGTCAAGGGAGTATTTGCCACTGAGCAGTCCCTTTGATTAAGTAAGCATGAAAACGCTCTTGAAGTAATCTTAGATTATATAACTGATGTTAGTAATACCTCTAAAAACCCAATTAAGACATATGAAATCAAAAAGGAAACTTGCTGACACGGCAGCAACGACGTTATAAATGATTCAACACGCTCCCTGGATCCTTGGCAAAAAAGAGTATCGTTAGCCGCAAGTCAAACCAGTTGTAAGAATTGTAATTTATTTAGACTTATCATGGCTGTAAGCTGAGTTGCAGTCAGACAAGACACTTGATTGCTCATGAATTAGTTTCGGTTTGAGTGGGCTTTTCGATTGAACACGAACAGACGGCTAGCCAAGGTTTAGACTTTAAATTAATTGATTTTGGTTTTCATTTCAAATTGAGTTTATTAATATTTCAAATAGAACATAAAGCATATTAGTGATTTTTAAAGATTTTATGGTAAATGTATTATCAGCAAGTTCATTTTACAAGGGACTAATCATGGATACTAACAAGTTAAGATAGTCATTGTGAGTAGTTTGGGAACAGCAGGTTTGATCAACAGCACTTGAGTTTCAGGTTAATACTTAAGAACTCAAGATCGATCGGCCTGCTGACAGGTGATAAATGAACTTTTCCGCTGGCCCAAGAGTTTTTTTTTTTCAATTGGTTTGCATTTAATGGAAATTTACTGTGCTGGCACATCCATCAACCCTATTATACCTTCCATTAACACATTATCTTTTTTTTTTTCTATAGTATTTCTATGCCTTGATTTGTTGATTGATTTGCATACAAATTGAGCTTGAAGAAAGCGTGAAAACTAATTAGAATTAATGTCGAATAATATTTGATAATGTTAAGCAATACATAGCCTAAGTTCTTGTACATACGCTATATATCTACATATATATATATGTATATATATATATAATATATATATATGTCTGCTGTACATAACCCCGCAAATCCGAGAACCCCTAATCCAATGCTACCCCGAGAAAGTGTAATAAACAAATAGGAATCAATGTGAATGTAAACAAGCCAAAAACGAAAAACGAAAACTAATAAAAAAACGCATATAATATAATATCGAGATGAAGTATTGAGATTAATCCGCTAAGTTTTTTAAGAGGCAACCAACCTATTCACAGGCACGCGCTCGGCCATTTGACATCATTAAAGGCATTGATATGTTTTTTATTTTAATTCGCTTTATTTGGCCAGCCGCCACGAGGAAAAACAAAACAATACTTGTTATTTAATTAAACAATTTGTCTGTTGTCGCGATCGGTGATCGGTGATCGCTGATCGCTGATCGCTGATCGCTGATCGTCGATCGCCGCGTGTTGATGGCGATCGCTTGTTCGTCTGTGCAGGGAAATGGAAAACAAAATAGCAGCTTGCATGCCCATAAACTCACACACAAAGTGCAGCCGACAGCAGTATGCACGCCTTGCCACGCCCCCTGCCCACACACTTCCGCCCATCTACAATGCCCGCTAAGTGGTTTAATGGTGTCGAAAGAAAGCAGGAAGAATCTTTAAAGCAGAATAATGAGAATTTCTGAGAAATTCTTTTTTTTGGGATAAAGTATCTTAGTAGGTTGTACTATTTCTTTTTTCACCAACTCAAGTGTTAGTCAAATGATTTTAAATTGAATGTATATATCACTTTGGTTTATTAACACCGCCGATCGACATGTGAAAGTAAACTTGGAACCTAAAAATAATCGCCATTTGCCTTGAGGGTCTGAAAATAGCTTTCGGTACTAATTAGAAGTCGAGCGTTAGTTGTTCTATTTCGGGAACAGTAAATATTGAGTAGTAAAATATTTAACCACCTGATAGAGATATCGCACACAGTCGATTTGTAGTGTTTCTAAGTGTGTTACACATGTTAAATATAAATATATATGTATGCCACGCCCCCCTTTCTCCTACTGATTTTCACCATCAACGACCACAAATTTTCTATCTATGTTTGATTTGTGATGAAATTTATGTATTTGATTTTCTATTTTTTCGGTGACTTTGATTTTGTTGTATGTCTAACGTAAACGTTCCAAACCAAAACTCCATCATAAACGTTAATCAACAACAACAACAACAAAACTACAACAACAACACCACCAATCCAAACCAACAACAACAACCACGACAAACAGCCCTGCCCAGGATATCGAAGTATTACGACTGCGGTAAGTTGAAAGTCCTATAAGGACACGGATCTTAAGTTTCGGAAACCGAAACCACAAATGCCCTTGCAGACCGATTGCTATATACGAAATGTTTTAGTTTCTGGTCCGATCAACTTGAATGAGATATTTTCTGGGATTTGGTGATCTTATACAGAGCATAGGTGTAATATCTAAAGGGATTTTTAGATCACTTTCATGACCCAAAAATTAAATTGGAAACTTTTCCCAAAAGTATTTCATAAATTTGATTTTTAAGAAAATTTTCACGATACAAAATGTATTTTTTATAGAACATTAAGAACTGAGAGATAAGTTGACTTTTGTCCGATTCTACGAGTATTACCATCCAAAATATTCCCATTCCCTCTGCAAGGGTCTAGAGAAAAAAAACACCAACGACAACAGCTGCTCACCGCGTATGTACGTATGCTAGTCTGTGTGTGTATCCGTCTCTTTCTCTGTCCATACACCTATCTCTGTCTCTCAGTCGGTGTTCAAGTTTATGTAGTGTGACCGTTCGTGTGCCTGCTTTTAGATTTGTGCATGCAAAAGTTTTAAAATTGTTATTTTGGATTTAAATTAAACGAAATTTATAAAATGTTCGTAAGATTTGGGAGTTTTTGCCTCAGCCTCTTCCCCTCTTTACTCCTGAAGCCACTTGTGAAATGAAAATATTTATGATTCCCCTTTCTCTCTCTTTTTTCTCTATGTGTCTCTTTCAGCTGGGGATCCTAACTCTTGGCGCCTTGGAAGGATCGACGAGACGGACCACGAAACGGCCGTTTGAGAGGGATCGAGATGAAATATTTAGACTTGTGTTTTTGAGTATTATTAGATGTATATTTTAGGCAATACTGAGGAATGGTAAAGCGGAAATCCAACAGATGGATCCGTGGAAACCAAATGCCATGAGTCGTTCGTTATACAGAATTATTTATATACTATATGGCGAAGGTAACAACTGGATTAGGGCTATTCTTCTCGCGATCATTGCTTAAGATTATCCCCTCCTTGAATTTGGTTTCTTACACTTTTCAATTAAGTAAGATTCATGGGGTATTTCTAAAGCCAAAATTGTTGTTAAATATTCGATTGGGCTTACGGAGATTGAGTTAACTTTGAAATTAGTGCCGAAAATGTATTTGAATATTTTTTTTAGAAGCCACCACGAGAAGAGTACGCCTTTGGGAAGGAGAATGGAGATATATATGTATACACAAATTATATATTAATTAAAACTAGTCTAGTTGCAAATTGTATTACGTTATGACTACGGATTAGACGAATGACAAACAAAGAGCAGAATTAGAGGGAGGAAAACTGAAATGAAATGTTTATTAATTAAATGGAGAAAATGTATTTTTTTATTACCCTAAAGTTAAGAGATTATAAACGAAACCCAAAAACCCAAAAAGGAGAACGAAAAATGAAGAAAGAAAAGCTAAAAAACTAAAAAACTAAAAAACTATAAAAAACAAATTCGTTGAGTGTGCAATATACAGATATAAATACACGATATGTACATGAATATATATGAGTAGTTAACGGATAAATATGTTTGTGGCTACTCCCCGCTAGATGCAAATCGAGAAAACAAGAAAAACATTCCATCGTTGATTGAGCCGCCCCCTATATAGCAATCATTACAGTTTTACAGTTTACATACTCGTACAGTTCCCGCCTAAATTGTCACCTCAATCACTCAATCACTTCCTGTCGAATGATACCACTAACCGAAAACGGTATTAAAGTTCGTTTTCCCCTATCTATATTTGATAGCCCTTGTTGCTTTTGTATCTATGTGCCTGAATTTATGCATGTGCATCAATCGAAACTTGAATAATATGAGAGTCGAAAGCCCCAAAACGAAATGAATTTTGTTCAGCCATGAACATTAGCTAGGTATAAAAATAGCGCCGCAGCCAACCGGTTAAAGGAATACACATATAAATGAGAGCCTGCAAAAACCTCATTAAATGCGAAATATCATACACTGCGGGGTGGACCTGGCTAAAACCCCGAAAACACCCCATCACCCCAAAACCAACAAATACACCTAAAAACCCCATTCAGCCCCGCCCATTGAGGTTTCAAGCTGATATTCCCCGATAACACCTCATTAAAATCATTGCCATAACGCATAGAGCAGGAATTTGGTTTCACGCCCACGGAAATTTGCCCTAAATTGCAACGCATTGTATTGTATCTATCGATCCCAACGTTTGTCTCATGTAAGTTAATGGTTAGAAAAAACAGATCCCCAGATCCCCCGATCCCAAGATCCACATAGAGCCAACACAGAACTACAACCAGACCGAACTAAACCAAACCAAAACAAATAGTTCAATGTATTTCGTACCTTTGAGCATAATTAAAAATAAAGTAAAAGTGGACATGATATGAAAAACAAAGGCAGTCTTACTCTTTATTCAGATTAATAAGGGATTTGCGGGTGCCTAAAAGTATGCAATGCTTTTTGGCATACCCAAAGGAGGTAAGTTCTGCTGGCAAGGGAAAAAAGAATAAAGAGAATAAAGTAAAAATATGTTTATATTAATACTACAAAATGAATACTATTTTTTCCAAAATATATAATGTATATAATTTCACACCAATTTTCAATTTTTTTTATTATTTTCACCAATTTTCACTGTTGTAAAAGTGAAAAGCAAAAGGAAACTTAATATATTTGCATCGTAGTACCATGCGGGTTCATGATGCCCGCATAATGAAAAGCTCGTTGTTAGCCCTCCGATATGGCATAAATTGAGCCAATTACAACCTCTCCGTTCCGGGGAAGCCATTCTAGACAACCGACGAGGCCACCGAGGTTTCCCCGACAAAAAATAGACATTGTGCAGGGCTGAGCATTCAGGAATATTAAGTTTCAGCCTTGGGTGCAAAACAGTCGGAGGAGGGATTGCAATTAATGCATGCAAGTGGCCACAGATCCGGACCCAACTTTCGGTCAACAGCGAGCACAATGTCCAGTTGGCCTGCTCAACAGCCGCGGGCCAGGCCAAAACTCTCGCAAAGTTTGCCAACGACATTTTTAATATTTGATGCGGTTTTTTCAGCTGTCTGCGGTGTGGACGGGTAGTTTTACTGTCACACATAGGGAAAAATAATCAAAATATCAAGTATATAGGCTTTAGAAAGGGTTTTGAAGGATATTAAATTATTAACAGTTATATTTGAAGAAGATTTATAGTCTCTTAAAACAAACCAATACATCTTAAACACGCTTTTTGAGCTTAAAACAATTTGGAATGTATTTTAAAGAATATTTTTGTAGTCATTTGGTTTTTCTCAGTGCTTTTCAGAGCTCATCACGTTATTTATACATGCTTTTAAATTGTGTTGTCCACCTTTTGACCCCCTTCTAACTTTGTTCAGCTTCGCCTGCCGCCCACTCACTCCCTGAAAGCCGAATTGTGTGGGTGGAAAAGTTGCTCTCTTTCTGCAAACTTTAATTAAGTATATCAGTCAGGCAAGCAGTTGTCAAGCAGTGCGACAAGCAGTCAATTGCAGGCCGCATGGAAAACTGTTGCATATTTAGGGGGGCCAAAGGGATAATTAACTAAGCGGGACTTCAAAGAGTCCTGCAAACTCCAGTGTGCGCGTGTGTGTGTGTGTGTGTCTTTGACACACAAGCAGGTGGACTTAATCCCAGATTCACAGGTCCTTGCTTTATTTTTAACTCGTCGCCCGGTCACGTGTCCTGGACGCTCGCAAACATACAGTACGGCTTCTGGAAGTGGAAACTTCACACAATCGATGAAATTTTGCAGATATTTTTAAACAAAAAACATGAGATTAAATTGGGTAAAATAACTCGCACTGTGCATATGCGTTGCGGGCTTATTTAATGGAAAATACGCCAGAATGATTGAGTCCCGAAGTCGGGCAAATATTTACTCATTTTTTCACCTGCCATTATTTGCAATGAAATTGGTTTATTTTTTTTCATATTTTGAACGAAAGGCAAATCAAATAAATCGCTTCCCTGTCGGCGACCACAGTTACCTTTTTATTGGATTGAGCGCCGACAATTAAATGCTCAATTTTGTTGACTTAAT